ATACATTAAACTCATGAAATTGTACAAGTAACGGGTAATGTTCTTAAAAAGAAGCTTAGAGAAGTTTGAGTTCTTAAAAAGATGCAAAGAGAAGTTCGAGTCTGAAGAAAGCGAGTGCTTTGGATGCTATGAATTTGAGAGGGAGCTGCATGGGCCAGTTTAACAAATCAAAATAGAGTCGCCATGAAAGTAACGAGTATTTGAAAGTAACGAGTGATTTCTAGAACCTACACTTACCGAAGCAGCCAGTACTCCCCTAAAAAGTAAAGAGTGACTGAAAGTAACGAGTGTGTTCGAGCACATGCTCATGAGAGTAGCGAGTGATTGAAAGCAACGAGTATATTCGCGCATTTACCGAGAATGTGACAAGTGAGTTGAAGCATCGAATGCCTTGGGGTATTTACCATGAGACTAACGAGTAAATGAAAGCAACGAGTGGGGTATTTAATATGAAGCTGACGAGTGTTCATTCAAGAGAGTAAGAGAATCTAATGAATCTAATATAACGAGCGACGAGCAGTTCCAGCCAATTAGCGACTCTAAAAAAGAAAACAATTTGCATGGCCGGCCACTCGGCCTACTTGTTACACGCAGTACAATGTCCTTTGTCCTTCCACTGTCGCTCTGCCTGTGCCTCTGCCTGCACCTCTGCCTCTGGCTCTGGCTCTGGCTCTGCCTCAGCTTTGTTTGCCTTTATTTGGTGTCTGTTCGCTGTTTGCCCGTTGTTAATTACAAATGCATTGCACAGTTTGTTTAATGTCTACCTGCCTGCCCCCTCCATCTCCCTCTCTCTCTCTTTCGCTCTCTCCATGTCTCTCTTTCTTGCTGGCTTTCTCAATACTCATTATATTTTGCTTTGTTTCCTTTGCAGGTTTCACATAGATAAACGCTGTCAACACCGATGTTCCTGGAAATGCTTGAGCATCGCCTTAATATTCATATCCGTCGTCCTAACCGCCATGTTGGCATACTTTGCAGGTAAGCTGAAGGCCGGGGTAGTTGCTAAATGTTACGGACAAGACAGGATATATCCGCCATGTTTGGGGATGATGTCCAATGTTTATACGAATGTTGCTCAATGTGTGTGAGTTTGAGTGTGTGTGTGTGTGAGTTTGAGTGTGAGTGTGTGTGGGCAACGCGGCGTTGTCATAATGCCAAACACTCTTGATGAAAAATACACATACAAATGCAAATAGACTGACTAACGCACACACACACACACACAAATGCTCTAATCATATACATATTCTATACACACACACACACACTGACACAGCATAGCAAATACATCAAAATGTTTGCTTTACATTAGCGTTAAATGGTGTTACTTTACACACACACACACACACACAGTGACACGCACACACACACACATAGACACACACAGCCAAGCCAAGAAACTTTGCGCCTGGTTCGTTGGCAAACACAATAATATACCACACACACACACTCAAACCCCTCTCTCTCTCTCTCTCTCTATGTCTCTCTTTCTCTGGCCGTCTCTTCCTCTCTCTGTCGCACACACACTCGCTAATAGCGGCTGGTTTGTTGATTATGTGAAAAGTTGCATGTGGCAGCTGTTGGTCACCAGCTGCACAATTGACAAGCAATTAGAAACCACAACAACTGGCACGCCTACCACGCCCACAAATTATATGCATGCCCCACTTGCGCATAGCTCACGAGTGGCTCAAACATTTCAATCTAAGCGTGCAACGAAAAAGAAATATAAAAAAAAAAAAAAAAAAATAAAAATATTGTAGTTAGACAATTATTATTAAATATATGCTTGTTAGCCAAGTTATAGAAGCTATATATATACATAATATAGATGTGCCTATATAGAGACCGAGGCACTCGAGCTGTGACCTATTTAAGAGTTCAGCAATTCGAGCTGCTCTCTGATTGTAGTTCCAAGTTCAGAATCAATTCAGTTCGACTTGAGATTTAATATCTCTAATCTAATATCTCTATCCTGATCTATGTATAACATGAGCTTGTGAGATACACTTATTAGCCCAAGTCAAAAATCCTATACAATGCAAATTTTTGGAAACTTTTCTTTGCCATAGCTGATTAATTTTCGAATGCCTCAGAACTCATTACAAATCAGAGGTTTCATTCAAAAGATTTGGATTTTACAAACTATCTAAAGTGTCTAATTTCCCTCACGTTTCTTCAGCAATTTCCCAACTATTTTGCCAGTTCGAAGCATCATCAATTTGGCTCAAGCTCAATCTAAGAGCTCAACGCGTTAGCTGTGTTTACCTGCTGCCAGAGCTAATGGCATTATTCCATTTCATTATAGCATTTAGCTTGCGTCCTTTCCCCCAGCTCATGGCTAACGCTAATATTAAATAGATTTTGTGCCTCGACTTTGTTTATCTTTCAAGTTACTTTCTGCCTACACAGAGCTTTTATTTATTCTATTTCACTTTTTTTTCTATCCTGCCTAGGCTAGAAGGGAATTGGATTAAGGACTTGCCTGCAGGCCACTGCCACTACGCTCACTATCTCACTCGCTCTCACTCCATCTCCTTTCCACTCTCTCGCTTTGACGGGCACTTAAAGCTCTCGCTCATTAGCTGACAATGGCAAATTAACAAAATTTTGAAATGCCAACGCTTCGAGGCATGCAATACACACACCTTCACACGCACACGCACACGCACACACACACACACAGTACCGACGCGTGCACAGCAAACAAAATGGCGACGTAGCACAAAATGTTGCCTCAACCAAATTGAATGCGGCAGCTGCAAACGCGTTTTTGTTGTTGTTGCTAACAACTTGATAATTAAACACGTTTCGTGTTGTCATTGTTGTTGTTGCTGCTGTTTTTGCTGCCACCTTTTAAATTATATTTACAGGTCAATTTGATTTTTTACTGCCAACCTTTCGGCAAACGGAGCAACTTTTTGCTCGTTCCCCCCAGTCACCCACTTCCTCTGCCCCACCCACTCCTTTACGCTGTGCTTCTGCCTTGCTCCTAAGTCTGGCCAAATTGTTGCTGTTGCTGTTGTTGTTGTTGTTGTTGCTGCTGCTGCTGGGCAACGCTCCACAAAACTTTGCACATTAAAATATGTAAATTTTAATTTGAAACAAAAGGGTTGACGTGTCGCTACCCTACCTCAAGACCAGCGCCAGCTCCAGCTCCAGCCCTAGCTCCATCTACGTACGCCCACCCACCCGCATAGCCCGCGTTTGCACGCGACGCCTTTGTGCCTGGGCGTTTTATCTAGTGTTGCAAAACTTTTTGTTTCTTTTCTTTGCGCTTCTTTTTTATTTATTTCTATCTTCCTTCTTAAATATACAAGTGTATATATATATGTACATATTTATATTTATATTCTTACTTTTCTCGCTGCTGCCAACTCGCTTGATAAATTTTCCAGCCGCACACGCATTTAATTTATGCGCTCCGAAATATTTCTCGTCTGCTTCAAATGAGCCAGCCAGCTGGCAAATGGGCGTGGCACACTTTATTCCATGCCACACCAAAAGGCATTTGACTTTAATGCCAAAGATTTGAATATCTATTCGAAAATTCAGTGAAGTGCTTTGAAAGATAATGATATATGCTATATATATGCGATATCTTTATATGCGATATATATCAGACAGGCATTTAAAGGCGTCTAATGGTATTTTTGGATTTTCTGTCTTTCATATAAGAAATATTCACATATTAATTTGCTGCTATTCTTTAAGCAACTTAAACTAAACAGTAATTAAATTTATTTAAATTTAAAAAATAAAATCAAATAAATAAAAATAAAAAATTAATTAAAACATTAATTAAGTTTATATAAATTAAAACAATAAATAAAAATAAAAAATTGATCTAAACATTAATTAAATTTATATAAATTAAAAAAAAAATAAATAAAAAATCATAATCTAAATGTGTATAAATTAAAGAAAAAAAATATTAAAAAAAAAAAAAAACAATTTACCCAAATTTCCCCTTTTTAATGGGTTCAGGGTATAATTTAAAAAAAAAAAAAAATAACCCTAATCAGTAATTGAATTTATGTAATTAAAAAATTTCTTAGAAACTAAAAACTATCGGTTCAAACTATCGCAATGATGATGACACTCGCTATTTGCTCAAGCTTTAGCTCAGAGCAAACTCAATCAAGGCAAACATCTATGGCGTTATGTAACAATCGAATCTTATTGAATTGGCCAACAGTTTCTGATTGCCTATCCTACCTGCTCAGCTTAGGGCATGGGCGTGGCAGCTATTTGACTTGAAGCGTGCTGCGTTTAATTTATTATCTACGCTTTTAGCCGCCGCAGCAGCAGCTGCTGGTTCAGAGAGTCACAGGCTCTGATTTGCAACAACAACAACAATAATAATGTTGCGGCTGCCTGGCCTGGCTGGTGGCCCACTCCACAGCACACACCACCCTACCCCCTCCCCTGCAGCACCCCCCGTGCCCCCAGTTGCTGTTGCTGCGGTGTCACAACGTTGCAAGTGAACGAAAACAAATTTACAACAAACCACGAGCAAAATGTGTGATGCCACTTGGCTGGCTGGCTGGCTGCCTGCCTGGGTGGTTTGGTGGCATGGTGGCATGGTGGCTCGGTGGCTCGGTGGCTCGGCTTGGCTGCAAAGCAACCCCAGTCATATCCCCTACCTGCTTGGTCTTATGGGCAGGCACTTTACTTTGGCGCACAAAATGAATTTAAGTTGAAAAGTTGTGAACATTTTGTGGGTAGACGACGGCAGGCGGCATCACATGGCAATGGGAGTTTGGCAATAGGATCTGGTAAGAGACTTGGCCCAAAAGCTGCGTGTGGATTTCACTGATTTAATTGTTTGCCAGCCCCGTGGTGTGCCAGGGTGTCAGGGAGGGGGCGAGCGAGCGAGCGAGCGAGTGAGTAGATCTGCTTGAAATTTATCTTTTAAAAATAATGTATTAATTTGTGTGGCTACCCTCGCATGCATGGCATCGCTAGGTATGTGCGCATGTATGTGTGTGTGTGTGTGGGGGAAGGGGGGGGGAGTTAGGTGGGTCTATCCATAAACTCATTTGTGTAAAAAGCTTTTTGTGTTGTGTGTTTGGCTGTCGGCTTCGCTGTGCTGCGGTAAATGAATTTACGCTTCGCCGAAATCTATGTGTGTATGTGTGTGTGTCAGTGTGTGTGTGGGTCGTTTTATGGTTGAATAGTTTTAAAGCTGCGGGGTTAAGATGAAGGCAACAGCAACAACAACAACAGCAGCAGCAGCAGCAGCAGCAGGTGATGAAAACAGCCCGACTGCGCTTTAGCTTTTAATAGTGGCTAATATTTTTGCAGCTGCTCTTCCGCCCACACTCTGTTGTGCTGCCAGCCTGCCTGTGTGTGGGTGTGTGTATGGGTGTATGTGTGTGCGACGTCTGTTTGCGCAATCATTTTCTATTAATTAAGCGCAAGAGGGTTTAATAAAATTAGCAAACACTTGCGGGCGGGCCAGCTGCGACGTTGCCAGTGTGTTTGTGTGTGTGGGTGTGGGTGTGTGTCAGTGAGTTAGCAGACATTTAAAAATATGCAAACAGATACGCACTAGCACACACACACACACGCACACACGCACATCATTGTCAGTTAATTAACAAGCGCAAACACACTAGCTGAGACGAGGCTTCGCTTTGTTTGTTTGCTTCCTGTGACTACGTGTGTGAGTGTATGTGTGTGGGGGCGGCCATGCCTTTAATTTGATTTGCAATTTGTTAAGCAACCTCCACAGCAGCCAAACAGCACGCTCAAAAAAGTTTTGCTCAGATATTTGATAAGCAGCGCACAAAAGTGTTGCCTACTTTTATGGGCAACGTGCGGAACACGAAAATGTTGCCTACATTTCAGCGCAGTTTTCTAATGAACTGAAAACATGAGCGTGCGCATGTTGCCTAGACCAAGTAGCATGGCAGGCTCTAGTACACACACACACACGCACAGGCAGCTATGGGCAGCTGCCAAAAAGTGTTGCC